TAATTTAAAATTAAAATAATTAAAAATTAAAAGAAGGAAAGGTTTTAAAATATTACTGCTTTAAAAAAAAAACCTGTAGCAATAAGCGTATCAGGTAAGTATAAAAGCAAAAATTTTAAAGCATTCATGTCTAAAATTTAAATTCAATTTTTGAGGACATGACAAAAAAAATGTTATCAGGTAAATCTTTTGTTTTAACATAAAAAAATTTTAATTCGTTTACTTTTTCATTGTAGAAGTTGAAAAGGAGGATCGAACAGTTCCAGTAGAAGACCTTAAGAAAGACAACGAATCAAATCCTTGATCTCATGTCAAAATAAATTCGGCGTTTTTTTCTCAAAATACTCGTAACAGCTTTTTCGGTTAAAAAAAAAAAAAAAAAAAAAATTTTATTAATTTTTTATTTTTACAATTTTATTTTTAATGATTTTGTGGAAACTTTCGAAATATTTATCACAAGTTTGAAAATACCGTATGTGACATTATTTAGAATGGTTTTTTTTTTTTTTTCTCTTTTTTTTTTTTTTTTTTAATAATAAGAAATCATCGTTGTGTTTCAATGGTTACTTAATTAACCGGAAAAGCGTTGTGAAATCTACGGAAAAAAAAAAAAAAAAAAACAATATGAAAATAATTTTTAATTTGTGTTGACAACCCGTCTTAAATAAAAACTTTTAAAATGTATTTTTTTTGAAATTTAAGATGAGTGAAAAAAAAAATGAAAAAAAATCCGTTTGAAAACGATAAAAAACTTTTTTGGGGAGCCTGGGAAAAAGAAAGATCGATCATTGCATCATTGTTTCATCATTGATATCATCAAAACATCAACAACAACAACAACATTATTATTATTAATAAATATAAAAAAAAAATTACTTATTGTAAGTAGTTTTTCTCTCTCTCTTTCTCTCTCTCTCGAGATGAGTAATATAAAAAATTTTTATATAATCGTAAAAAAAAAAAAGAAAAAAGATGGGGAAAAAAAATGATGTTCGTCTGTCTGTCTGTCTGTCAGGGGTTTTATTATTATTATTATTATTATTATTATTATTATTATTATTATTATTGTTATTAATAGTAATTTAGGTTTTGAATGATTTTTGACGTTTAAATGTTAATATAAAAAAAAAAAAAAAAAAAGTATTAGTTAATTTTGATTGTGAATTGTAGTCGTGGAGAGAATTATTTAATAATTATTATTATAAAAGTAAAGATTGAAAAAAAAACAAATTTTTATAAATTGAAAATAAAAATTTGAAATGATAATAATAATAATAATAATAATAATGATAATTGATTTATAAAAATTCATTTTCATAATGTTTATTATTATTATTATTATTATTATTATTATTATTATTATTGGGGGGGGGGGTGTGAATTTGAACGCCAATAAAAAAAAAAAATAAAGAGAAAATGAATTACAGTATTTTAAATCAATCAATGACTTATTAAAAATAATTAATTAATTAATTAAAATTAAATTATTATTGTAATTTTATTATTATTATTATTATTATTATTATTATTATTATTATTATTATTAATAAAAAGCGACTGATTTGAAAAATTAAAATAACTTTAGTTAAATATATGTTACATAACACTACTGCTCCTGATTATTATTATTAATATTTTTCTTTTTAAATAATGTAATTAATAAATGTGTAAATTATAATCGGCAAATCAGACATCGTCGGTATAAATTTCTTATTAATTCATTTTTAATAAATTTTCCCAAATAAGTAATAATAATAATAATAATAATCAATCAATTAATTTAATTTAATTTAATAATTTACAATTGATTTTGTTTTTGATTTGAATGGGAATAAATAATTTTTTTTTTTTATTGAAAATAAAATTCTTATAAATTTAATTGACCAATCGATTTTTCCTAAATAAATAAAAATAAGGTTTTTTTTTTGTGGGGGGAGGGGAGGTGAGGGGAAGAGGGGTTTCTTTTAAATTTGTAAACGTGAATATTTAATTTAAAATGTTTAATAATAATAATAATAATAGTAATAATATTTTGATATTGTTTCGTTTCGTTTTTTTTTTAAATGTAAAAATTTTTATGTATTTGGTAAAACAAAAATTAATAAGTAATATTAAATTTTTATTTATTTATAACTAATTATTATTATTAGTAAATGTTATTAAACAAAAATTTTCCTTTGATTTTATTTTTTTGTGGTATTATCGTAAATTTAAACAACAACAAAAAAATAATAATAATAATAAATTATTTTATCTATTTACATAACTAATCAAATTCTTTTACATTTATAAAAACAAATGAAATTATATAATTTTTTAAAATAAATAAATAATAATCATAAATTAAAAAACTAAAATACTATTTTTAATAATAATAATAATAATTAATCCAACGATATAATCGATTCTATACTCGACGAATATTTATTATCATTATTTTTATTTATCGAAGATGATGATGATGATGATACGTAATTATGAGGCCATATTGAAAATATTTTTGAATTATTTATTTTTCCTTCGAATATTTTTATTAAATTATTACTTTTTGATGATTTTTTTTCATTATTCGCCATCACTTCTAAAAATAAAATAAAATAAAAATAAGTTTTTACATTAATTATTATTAAATTATTTAAATTTCAATTAAAAAACAAAAAAAAAACAATTATTTATTTATTTATTTAATTTTTTACATACTTACGTTAATAAATTTATTCATTACCGTCAATTAATAATAGTTCATGCGATATATTAATAATAGTTATTAATTAATAAGCTTGCATTTTAGTAAAATAAATAATTTTTTAGTGAATAAGCTATGAATTTTGATTATTTAAATAAATTCTATTAATAAATAAATAATTTTTATGGATTGTTAATGAAGTAAAAAAAAAAAAAAATCAATAGATAATGATAATAACATGCATATTAATGCAGGAAAGCATTATTTGCACACATATGTCAAATATTTTGCAGGAACATACAAAAAAAATTTCCCACCAAATGAATTTTCCCCAATTTTACAACAACTAATTTTCATTTAATATGAAATTTTATAAAACCTTAAGTTAAACCTTTTATGTTTACTCGAGGATAACTAAAGTTAAAAACTTTAATTTAAAAAAAAAAAAAATTCAACTTTCAACAATTATTTTATATAAGCCCACCTTTTGTTATGGAAGGTTCTTCTTTTATCAAAGACCTTATTTGATGAGGTTGTTCTGGTGTTTTCAATATCTTTTCCCTACGAATATCACCAGCCTCCTAAATCACAAATAAAATATTATCTATAACCAAAAACTTATCATATATATATATATATATTTTTTTTATTTAACCTCACTTTCGATCGAATTGCAAAAAAAAAAAAAAATTTATTTTTTTACATTTAAATTATTATTATTATTATTATTATCGTCGTTTTTAAAAGTTTTTTTTTTAACCCAATGAAAGCAATAAGTTGTATAAAAAAAAAAAAAAAATTTTTGTTTTTAAAAAAGTTTTCTTTTTATAAAATATAATAAATTTGGTGATAAAACTTGTTACATCAATCATATTTAAATTTTGCAAACAAGTTTTCCTTTTTTTTTTTTTTTTTTAATTAAAAAGTTTTTTTATTAGTTTTGCCAAGTTTTACCAAGTTTTACCAATTTTTTTTTTTTTTTTAATCTATTATTTATACCCAAAAAAAAAAAAAAAAATGATTTCTTTTTTCTTCAAATTTATAAATTAAAAGGGAATGACGTCAAAAATAAATTAAATGAACTTGATATTATTATTATTAATTTTAAGATGAAATTTTTTTAATATGATTTAAGTGATGGCCTTGTTTTTTTTTTTTTTTTTTTTTTTTTTTGTTTTTGATTTGATTTTGTAAAAATTTTCATCCATTTATTGTTTACTAACATGGCCAAATAATTTTTCATTTTTTTACTTCTATGTCAAAATTTATTATTATTATTTTTCATTAATATCAGTTTTATAATTATTGTTTATATATTTACAATAATATATTAAATAATTTTAATAATAATTAAATCTACAATTTTTTTCTCCCTTTCCCCCTCCCCCTAAACAATTCTTTAACTATACAACTCAACTACAACAATATTTGCAACAAAAATACGATTTCATAAAATATTATTATTATTATTATTACTATTTTAATAATGCTTATGAACTTATATAATTTTATTTTTATTTGTTAATTAATAAAATTACGATAAGGCCTTCATTAAACGCAGTACTTAATAATAATAATAATTATTTAAACATTTTTTTTTTAAAGATCAATTTTTCCCTGAGCTGCGGTAACTTTGTTCAACTTATTTATTTATTTATTTATTTATTTATCTATCAATAAATTAATTTTATTATTATTATTAATAAAAAAAGGTAAACCTTCACCTATTTTATTAATAAAAAGAAAATTTTTTTTTTTTTGTTCTCTCTCTCTCTCTCTTTTTCTAATAATGTGTGTGTGTGTGTGTGTGTGTATGTGTGTGCAGAGACATATTAATTGCAAGGCATGCAGAAATCCAATTCATTAAGCGAAACCTCTGATATTGTTGCTATTGGTGCTCTTCCAATCATCATCATCATCATCATGTCACCATCGTTACGTACCTGATTTACTAAATCTCTTTTATCATCTTCTTCGCTCTTCGAATCCGTTGTTATTTTAGTTTTTACAATTTGCGGTGATTTTTTTTTTTCTATTCCATCTACTATTTTTACTACTGCTTCTTCTTCTTGTTGTTGTTGTTGTTCTCTTTCTCCTTCTTCTACTTTAGCTAATGAATTGGCTGAAATGAATTTTTTTTTTTTTTTTTTTTGTAAAATACATTTTTATTTATACTTTTTTATTCAATTTTTTTTTTTTTTTTTTTTTGTAAGACACTACTACCTCTACTCCTTAACTTGTCTACTTCTTTTCTTTCGATTTCGTTTGGAATAGAAATATATTCACTTTTATTTATTGGCCTATCATTTTTTGGTTTTGACGTATTCGTCTAAAAATATTTTCAATTAAATAAAATGAGAAAAAAATTTTTAACAAAAACGTTTCTGACTTTATCGTTTTTTTTGTTTTACCTTTGAAAAAGAAACAACTTTGACTCCAGGTTTCGAATAGGAAACGTGTTGATTCGGATTCCATAATCTTTGAGCATTTTTCGCCAATTCTTTTTTCTTTCGATATTTTCGATCCGTTCTCCAAAGTTCGTAAATGGCTCCAAGAATTATGATTACGAAAATGGATGATAATACAACAAAAATAACTGTAAAAAAAAAAAAAAAAATGTATATAAATGATAATTTTATTTTTTACGAAGTTAAATAACGTACCCTTTCCAGCTCCTTCTTCTCTTGTTGAACCTTCCGAATATAAGGATTTGTATGGGATTCTCGCCGGTGGATCTTCCACCCAAGCTTTATCGGTTCCCTAAAAATTTTTCGAAATTAAATTTTGTTAGAAAGGCACAAGAGCATAAAAAAATAAATTTCGATGTGTGTTTACCAAACTTATGTTCAGCGACGGTCCTGGACGTGGCTTATTAATAACATCAAAAGCGGCACATTGCGCAGTTCTTATCCCTTGAGAATTTGCAACTAAAACTTTTTCACTTCCCGTTTTTGTAAACAACATGTACTCCTCTAAAGGTTTCATTTCTTGTCCATTTACATCCACTAAAATGTCTGTAAAAAAATTGTGTTTGCATTAGATATAAAATTAAAAACTCATCAAACATTTTTTTCAAATAAATTTCAACTTACTAGCCAAGCATCCGCTGTAACTTTTATAAGATGCAAATCTCGGATCCGTCGTATTCAAACCTCCGATTTGAACTTCATTAACGCTGTTGTGGTGCTCGCTGTTCTCCGTTCTACTTACCATAGAAATAATTTCTAAAGAAACGGGTTCTCGATCAATCTAAAACGAAAGGGAAGGAAAAATTTTGAGTTTCTTTTACATTAAAATTATTTACACGTAATCAAATTAAGTATTTACCAATAACAATGTTTCATTTTCTTTTCTTTGATAATACACGGCGTGACGAGCGCCATTAAGAAAATTCCTGTCAGTTATTGTCACGCCATGAACGCTTCCGCCTCTTCCCTCTTCAAATATTAATTGTCCTTCACCGGTTAAACCGACTAGTAGGTAGTAACTTCTAAAATTATATTAATTTTTTAATTTTTTATGATATAACGATCGTAATAAACGTGAAATCTTACTTTTCTTCGGTTTGAACAATTAATAAAACTGTATTTCGTTGACGAGAGTCACTGCTTGAAAATGCCAATTGTACTTTTATTGAAGACACATCGTCAGTTAATACAAATTGTCTTTGAAGAAGAGATTCTCCACCGAAATCCGCTCCTTTTTCTAAAAAAAAAAAAAAAAAAAGTAATTTATGTAGTATTAAAAAAAATCTTTATTACCGTATTTTTATGTTTTGAAAATTACAATAAATAAAAAGAAAAGAAAATTAAAATAATTTATAAGTCGTGATGAGGTACCTTCATTACAAAATTCACCAATGTACGACGTATGCTCACAGTTACACGAACTTTCTCCTTTTTCAAAATCTTCCATACATATACCTTGATGTTTACAAGGTTCTTCATCACATTTCATTCGGCATCCGGAGACTATATCTCCAATACCTTAAACCAAAAAAAAATTTTTTTTGTTTTAATTTGAATTTTTGGAAAAATTGATTTATTAATTCTTACCACTGTTAGACGTTTCCGTTATTAAGTTATCCAAGTCGACGAGGTAATTTCCGATTTGAAGTCCTCGTATGCAACCTACGTACCCCTTTAATTTAGTAAATTTCGATGAAATTAATGTCAATGGATCGTAACCACCTAAATTTATTTGATAATAATTAACTGGGGGAGCGGGTGGTCTTTGGGGAACCAAAATTTCTGTAATAAAAAGTAGTAAATTTTAAAAATAACCATTTATCCGACTCTATAAATAAGTAATAAATGTCTGATTCGTAATTCAAAAATGAATTTAAAACCTTTTTCCGGATTTAACCACGGCCTATTTGAATAAACCGTGAGTGGTCGATGACTGGATTCGACGGTTGCATTTCGATCGTTTACATGAAGAGTTGTAAAAGTTTCGTTTCTTATTACGGCAACTTGTACCGATTTCCCGCTGCTTATCCCTAAAAATAAAATTAATTATTATTTTATTGAAACTTGAAAAAAGGAAAAACAATTGTTTTAATCACTTGATGCATTACCTGGATATTCGATAACTAAAGTTTTTATTGAATTCCCATCGTTAAATTTAAAAACTACATTTTCTCCACTTTCTATGTATAAATGAATGAAATTATTCAGGTGATCATTTATGTATAAAATCAATGAATTTTGATCATATGTTCTTAAATTAATTAATATATTTTGACTCGTTAAATTTTTCAACACGTCGTGAACTTCCGTGGGTATATTTTGAATGTAATTTTTTTTCACGTAAGATTCCTCTCTTAGAAAAGTTAAAGCTTTTTTATTTATATCTAAAATAAATTTTTTTTTTTAAAAATTATGTCCTTTTGTTTTTTCATAAAAAAATTAATTTTCTTCAAATGTAAATATTACTGGTTTCGCAATGTTCTCCCATGTGTGCCCAAGGATTTTCGCATACACATTCATATTTACTCCAAAGTTCCTTGCATTTGGCGCCATTTTTACAAGGATTCGGATCACAAGTTGGTTTACAATCTTTAATAATTTCTGATAAATGAACACTCATGTAAGAATAAATATCTAAAATTTCTCCATTGACTACCAGACCTCTGAAACATCCTATTAATCCTTGCGTAACTGAGCTTTTTCGTAGTAAATCTCTACATGAATTCAATTAAAATAAGATGAATAAAAGAAATATTAAAAAAAAAAACATTTTTTTTTGTAAACCTACTGCGTTGCCCCTCCGATAAACATGCTTCCTTCAAAAGGTCCAAATTCTTCTTCGGGTAATAAATCTACCATTTGATAATCCGTATTTATCATAAATCGAACGTGATGTTCATTATAATCAATCCAAATTTTTTGCCATTCTCCACCGTTTAATTTTCTTCTAGACTTTATTTCTAATTCTCGGGATCTTCCCGTATTTAGAGTGAAATTAAATGTCAATTGAAAATCTAAAATTTCAACAATTGTTCAGCTTTTTTTTTTTTTGATTTTATCATCTATAGGAAATGTAAATTTTTTTTTTTCTTTTCAAGTACCGTTTGTCAATGCAACCATAAAGCTTGGATAATGAGGCCTAATTGGAGGCTGATATAATAAAATTGCTTTTTCTCCAGTTGTACGAAAGCTAAAAGCTATATCACCTTTTCTCCATCCAGGAACTTCAATGTAAGATTGACTAGTTGTAAATGTGACTACATATTTTTGGGTATCTGAAAAATTACATCGCTACGTTTATAGAATCAGGGCATTACGATATATATTTTATTCCTTTTAATTCTTTACAATGCTAACTTGTTTCAACACATTCTAAAGGACCAAGAGTGATTCTTCCCAAAGCATCCACAGCTAAATCTTTTTGTTGTAAAAATACCATTTGAGTAATTCCTAGACTGCTTGGTGCCATATAATACCCTTCATCTGAGTGCCATTTAGCTTCGGAAATATCATCGCAATTGCATGACTGTAGGGGATTCACACAAGTTCTGTTTACTATAAAATATTAGTTTTTAATTTACATTATGCTATTATTAATCATTATATAAGTTAGACATTTCACCTCCGCAAGGACACGATCCTCTTTTGACATTTCCAATGTAATCAACTGTTTCATTTTTAGCTGATGACACAAACCATGTTGCTGAATGAAGGTCCAAAGGAGCTTTGTAACAGTCATATTTAATGTGTTGACTACAATATAAAGAGTGTGAAATAAGTTCTTGAAGCATTTCAGCTGAAAATTCTCGATATTTGATGCTAAAACTAAAATCCGATTCAGCTGAACTTCTCACATCCTAAAAAAAAATTAAAATTTAATTTTTTTTAAAAACTTGTTTTCCTTGTTAACTTTTTTTATTAATTTTTAAAACACTTATTACGTAAAGGCTAGTCATCAGAAGTAAATAAAAAAAATTTACTTACTACTTGACTTGGCAAATTATGTTCAACAATAGTTTTTGTTGAATCTTCAGTTGATGGGAATTCGCATTTTACATGAGCAGGAGGAAATCTTCCGTTTCCGTCAATGTCAATCAGATAAACATCAGGCTTGGTATACCCCAATAATGCTAATTCTTCGCAGGTTTTTCTAAATTCAGCTGTAAAGTTTTATCACGTTAAATATTTTTTTTAAAATGATTGTTTTTAAAATAAATCTGAAGTAGAAAATTTTACCAAAATGACAATTTTTGCCAATGTATCCAGTTCCAACGCAATCGCAAACAACCCGATCGACATCTATAGAGCATTTTCCTCCATGTTCGCATGCATCGGGTCTCTTACAAGGATCTACCAGTTGACAATTGTCTAAAGAAACATCACCTACTGCATGTTTAGTTCTAACAACGTATCGCGGTTCGACAAATTCTCCATTTACGTAAATAAGCCTCATACAACCCACAAGACCTATAAAAAGTCATTTTTCAAAGGAAAAAATACTTTCAAAGAAATTAAAACTTTTTTCAACTTTTAGAACTTTATACTAAGCTTAAAAGTTCGATACGAACCAATATTACTTTTCCCACCACTTCCGATAACAATTTTGTCTCCTAATTGAAATCGCATGCTGTATAGTTGGCTTTCTTTTTGTTTAAAATCTACGTTGAGTTTTAGGTCACCTTTGTAATAGGATAGTGCAACAACATGCCAAGATCCTCTTGAATCAAATTTTACGGTTGTTAAATGAGTTATGTTTTTTGATAAATCGGGTACCAATTCAAATCTAACTTCATCGTTAACAACTCTAAGCTGAAAGTTTAAAAAAGTAATTAAACCTTGACTTTTAAATATAAACAAAAAGAAAAAAGACTTTTTTTTTTTTTTTTTTTTTTACTCACTAGCCAGTAACCATGGCCATTGGCGGTCGACACGTCGCAATACGCCAACACGCCCATACTACGTGCGCTTTTGAAATCAAAAGAAATATTCAAACTATCGGTTCTTCGATTTTCCCACCACATGTGTGAGGTTGGAAAGGGAAAAGTTATCGGTATCACTTCTACATCTGTGTCGTAAAATTCTGGATCCAACATTCCTATGTAATGAACCTTTGGATTACCTTTTTTTAATTCGTATATGATTGATATTTCATTGAAAAAAACATATTTAAGAGATCCGGCAAAGTTATTGTTAGAAACCAGTCCTATAATTTAAAAAAATTAAATACTCCATAAATGTTATTGACTTTTTTTGTAAACTTATACAGCTTTTAAATATTATTTCATGCCAAAAAAAAAAATCATTAACCTTTTTTTTTTGACAGTTCTGGACCGCCTCCTATATAAATCTCAGGATCAATGTATAAATGATGCAAACTACCAGGGGCGTCCAATAATTTTACTTCATCGTTTAAAGAAACCAAAACTTCTAAACCATTATGAAATATTGTCAAATTGTTCCAATAATTTTTATAAACTTCTCTTCCTAAAACGGAAACAATAGGACCATCTCCAAAGTCAATATCGAGAATCACTGAACCATTTTTTATTGAAGCAGCTATATGATGCGGCTTATCGCCATATTCTCCACTCGCGTAAAACAAGGCGGAATCGTCATAACGGGTCTAAAATTTTTAATAAATTTTATTTTTAGTTTTAAAACTTTTTGCAAATTAAAAAAATAAAAGAGTACCTTAAAAAATAAACTGATTCTATTGACTTTAGAATGTACTCTATCTTTCCAGTCGTAGACACGGTAGGAAACGTAAGATGATCCTCTTAAAGTAAGTACGGTTGCAGCTAAAACGAAAAAAGGCATTATATGTGACGAATAAATTTTTAATTCCTTTTACTAGAAGGAAATTAAGAGTTTAATTTAATTAAAATTTTATTTTAAGATATCTAACGTACTATACACGTCACAATGTTCTCCTTCGTATTGAGTACCGAAACAATCACAGGTTAAGTCATTGTAATGATTTACACATCTGCTACCAACAAAGCATAAATTGGCTCTGGTTCTGCACCTGCATAAAAATATAAATTAACAAAAATTAAAAAAAATTTCACAAATGCAATAATTTAAATTTATTATAACTTACTTATCAATGCAACCTTCCCGAACGTTTTCGTGTTTTGTGGCTATTAACGGAGTTATCGGTAGCAGTTCCAAAGCTGCTTTACCAGCCCTCAAAACCACATTTTTTATACAACCAACAAAACTTTCTATTATGTATTTAACACCGTGAAGTTTTTCCTCCGGGCTAAGACCACCAATAAGAACCACAGATGTCAAATCTGATGTCACGCCATAATTATGATATGGATGAAGCCCCTGAATGTTTGTTTCTGCGATTTTATCATTTACTTTGGCAACTAATCTTGCATTGTGAACATCTATCCGAACGGTTACGTTTTGCCAAATATCTCTATTAAGTCCTATTAAAATGAAATTGATTTTAAATTAAATTATCTGCAAAATCGGCTTATTTTATTGTATAATTTTAATCAATTTGTTTTATTATTACCTTCGCCGACAATAACAGAAGTTGAATGTTCCCCAAAAACGTGAACAACTTTTAATTGTCCTTTTTCTACAATCACATACAAAGCATAGGGATTGAGTCCTTCAGGCCTATCTTTAATACTGTGATACACTAGTAAACCGTGGGGTAATTTCGTTCGAAATTGAAAAGAAATTTCTCTGCATAATCTAATAATGAATAAGTTTGAATTTCAAGTTTAATTTTTAAGCAGTTAAAATAAAAATATTTAAACCTTGAAAAAGGTGCACACCATCCTTACCGTAATTGGAAAGTTGGAATCTGATTGCTGTCCAATTGAATGAACGCATTGTTTCGTGCAAACATAAAAGTTTTCAAATATCCTGTGTCCCGAAAGGTTAATTCTTCACCTCTTTTCGACACTGGTAGTGAAGGTTTTGTAGGTCCAATTTTCACCCATTTTCCATCCACCCATTGATCACTAAATGGACGTTTGAGTTTATTTCGAAGGTACGGAGGTAAAGTATCTATAAAATGAGCATTAATACACTAATAACTTTTGGAAAGAACAAAATAGGAAGAGAGAAAAAAAATGGCTACTTACATTCGTGGCCTCCGACACATACATGCATGCATTCAGCTCTAGAATCAAAGCGATTAGCATTGCCCAAGCATCCTCCATAAATAAAAGTTCGGCAATCTCCTTCCGAGGAATCAAAATACCATTTATGCATAAAATTTTTGCAAGTTCCTTTGTAAGGTTTTAAATTACATATATCTGTTAAGCATGCGAATAATATTATATTAATCTTACCTCTTTATCTTTTTGGCGGCAATGTTTTAATTAAAACAAACCACTGAAATATTAACATGTAATACAATGTTTTTATAAATATTCAACATCTTACCCAAACGAGCAGAATGAAATTGTGAATCATCAAAAATTACTTCATTAGTTTTATTTTCCGTTTCTACTGCTGTGTAGCTGCTTTCCTTTGGTTTTTTATCTGTAACAACTACATAAAACAGTCAATGCAAATTGTTTGCAATTAAAAAGAGTTTAAATTCACTTATTATTATTATTTTTATTAAATTAAATAAATTGTCACTAATTATTTTAAAATATCACTTTTGATAAAATTTTCTCATTTCATTTTATTACATTGCTTTTTTGCATATTTGCACTAAAAGGACGCTTTCAAAATTATTTGCTGTTTGTAAAAAAAAGAACTTAGTTTTCAAATTTCGGTCCTAATTGTTTCGGAAAAGAAAAAATTGTTTCAGAAACGTCAGTTTCATGTTTCACGTTGCTGACTTTGCATTTCGCGATAAATTTTTTTTCATCGAAGGTTGTTCTTTTTTTTTCTTTAACTGACAAAATTACATTTCTCATTAAATATTAAGTAATTAGTTTGTTTTATTAAAAATTGTGATTGTTTTATAAAAAGAAAATGGTTTAGTGCGATGTAAATTTCGAATTATTTTAGTTATAAATTTAAATTGTGCAAAAGAAAATGAAAAAAATGGAAAGATCAGTGAAACGTGTTCGGTGTGTGTTAACTTGAAAAATTTTCTATAGGATACACATAATTATTGCTTGTCCGTTAAAATTGTTGCAAGGATTGTCAATGGATTGGAAATTCGTTGAAATCGGTGAGTTTATGATTTTTTCGTTTAAAATTTACAGCAAATAACAAAATCTTAACTAAACATAACCAAACTTTAAAAGATCATAAAATTTTTTTTTTATTCGAGTTTATTACTTTATAATATTCAAGGAAATTGTTGTTTCATTACCTTTTGTGCCAACACATGTATTTACACATTCGTCTCTGCTATCAAAACGATTTCCATTTCCTTTACAACCTCCGAAAACAAAAGTATCACATGTGTTTTTTATCTTATTGTAATACCATTTGTGTACGTAGCTTTGACAACTTCCATAATCAACATCTAATTCACAAACGCTGTGATGTTTTAAAAATTTTACTTGAGATGCTTGGGTAGTAGTTGTTGTAAATGTTGGCGTTGCCTCTTCATTAAAAGTTTTATTATGTTTCCTTACATCTTCTTGTTCTATTTTCTTTTGTACGAATGGTGGCAAATCGACTGGTAAAAACGTTTTATTTTTTAAATGTGCTTTACGTTTTACATTTGTATTTGTAATTACTTACCATTATTGTTAAGACATTTGTGACGACATTCAAGTTCACTGTCGAAACGGTTTTCATTTCCTTCACAACCTCCGTAAACAAAAGTTTCACAATTTTTTGTTTCTTCATTAAAAAACCATTTATGAACAAAACTTTGACAACTTCCGGAATCGGGAGATTGTTCACAGACAGGTACTTGAGAATTTTTTTTTTTATCATAACTAAGTTTTGGCAGCCCTGATGCTGGCGTTGTTGTCGTATGAGTCGAATAATCGTGTTTATCATTTGGTTTTAAAAAATTAGAAAAATCGTCTGTAATTTTAATAAAATAGTTAATTGGATATTTTTTTCTGATAAATTTCAATGGTAATTCGTTGAAAGAAGTTAATTATTGTTACCTGTTGTTTCCAAACATGTTCGAAGGCATTCATATTCCGTATCGAATCGATTTTCATTTCCCCCGCACCCACCAAAAACAAAAGTATTACATTTTTGAAGATCCGAATCAAAATACCATTTGTGAACATAACTTTGACAAGTTCCAGGATCCAAATTAAGAAGGCATCTACTTTTAATTGAACTTCTTGTGTCTAAATCAAGTTTTAATAAACGTTTTTAAATAAACTTTAATAATAATGTGCATACACGCCATTCTCTATCGTTACTTTTCTAATACTTATCTGCATTAGTTAGTTATGAGGAGGGAAAAAAAATTTATTTTCATGCAAAATGTAAGGCAGCAAAATTCATTCGCTTAAGCACGAGGAAAAACAGGTCAAAAACAACAAAAAAAAAAGTAAAAAATAAAACAATAAAATAAAATTTTATAAAACATAGAAAAACTCATTTAAGTTTTTTTTTTCAATTTTTATTAAGTAAATTAACATTTGAACCTTGAATTAATTTTCAAATGTAAAGTACGGTGTGTTTTTTTTTTGTTTTTATTTTTTCATGCAAAAAAAAAAAAAAAAAATTTTCCTCTTTATTTAGATTACCAAAAAAAAAAAAAAACAAAAACAAAAAAAATTTAGCAATGTATTGTGTAATAATTTCCAGTAAAAATACAAATTTTACCTGTTAATACGGACGGAAATGAATTCATTGAATCAGATCCCGTCATGGCTGGATGAAAAATGCTTAAAAATAATATTTTAAAAATAATTATTTTATTATTGAAAAGCATTTTCATTTATCTCTCTCCCTTTGTCATCAAACAAACAAACAAACTTTACACGCGAATCCACAAATTGAAACACAAATTTAAATTTTTTTAAATTGGTAATTTTTTAATCGTTCAAAAAAAAAAAAATTTTTTTCTTTTTTAATTCTTAATAATTGTTACAAAGTCACTCATTATTATTATTATTATTATTATTATTAATTTCGAAGAGAGAAAAAAAAACAAAAAAAGTTTTTCTCATTTATTTTCATCTGTAATTAATAAATTTAAACATTATTACATAAACTATTTCTCATTGTTTTCATCGATTTCGGCACGTTCTGTATTAAAATTTTTTATTAATTTATATATTATTATATTTTAAATAAGAAGAAGAAAATATTAAACAAATTTTTAAAATATATTTTTTGTAGCCTAGGCCATTTGTGTAAAAAAAAAAAAAAAAAAAAAAAAAAACGTTATAAAAGTAGTTTTGAGGAGATGGCATTTAAAATTTTTTTTTTTATAGATTGAATATGCAAATAATGTCTTAAGAAAAAAATAAAAAATAATAATAAAATTTGTTAAAAATTTTCTTTAATCTTTTTGTCTTCTTTTTTTTTTTTTTAAACTTCATCAAGTATAATTTAAGTAAGTTAGGACATGAAACAAAAAAAATAAAGTTAGTGAGTGTAGTAGTAGTAGTAGTAGTAGTAGTCGTTTTCAGATCTATCTGTGACATTTGTTCAAATTTAAATTTGCAATTACGTTAACTTAAATAATAATGACGCATCCTTTTAATAATTTTTTATCGTTTCATGTCGTCTTTTGTTTCACCCATTTATTTATTTATTTTTTTTTTTTGAACCTAAACTTTAAAAACAATTTTAAATTAAAAATCTTGGCCTGTTGTAAAATTACAAATCTTTTTTTATACCGGCATTTTTTATTATTTACTTCGGATTATTAATTATCTACATAGTTAATTACAAAGGAACGAGTTTTTTTTTTTTTCATCTTATATAAAATAACCGTTGAATTTATTATTATTATTATTAATAAAAATTTTTTTTTTTTTCAACCTGATTCGACCGGTATAATTTATTATGGATAAAAAAAAAAAGGGACATAAATTATTATTTTTCGATGAAAATCCTTTTTTTTTTTTTTTTTTACCATCACAAGTTAAAAAAATTATAAAGAATTGTAACGATATTCGCGAAATATTATTATTATTTTTATTATTTTTTTTCGAAAGTTACAAATATAGGAAATAATAATAATCACCGTTAATTTATTTTAAAAACTTTATAAATAATAATACATAAGCGATTACGTTAATAAACATACGTATTATAACCGTTGTTCACCGGTAAAAAAAAAAAAAAAACACACACACACACGAAAAATAATAATAATAATAATAAATTTTTTTTTTTTTCTAAATTAAATTTACGGTTAAATATGTGTATGTACGTTAACAAACTTTTTTTTTTTTTTTTTTGTTTTTACGGTTTTTTCTTTTTTACTTTTTTAATACTAATAATACTACTAATAATAATATTGATAATGAAAACGTTGTTTGGCAAAATGAATCGTTTATGCAGATGCGAAAGATGGCAACGACTGAAAGCACATATTTACCATGAGCTCATATCAACAGGACTTGGGCCAATTACATATCTGTTAGTTAGGCTTTAATGTCGTAACCGGTTATAAGTGACTCTATAATTACATGTTTTTCTCAATGTTTAACTATTGAGCTTTGATTTCTTTTTTTTTTTTTTTTGTCTTAAATCTCTTATCACCCCCCCCCCCCCCCCCCCCCCCCACTACCAGTGTTAATTTACCTATTAATTAATATATATATCTTCAACCAATTATTATTATTATTATTATTATTATTATTATTATATATGTATTTATTAATTTTTTTTTTTTTTTTTTTGGCAAAATGGAATAGATAAAAGTTTGGATTTATTTTTTTTTTTGGGGGGGGGGGAGCGAAAAATTAAAAATTTATTTCGGTTGTTTTTTTTTTTTTTTTTTGTCTTTTGAAGATTAAAACTTGTTGTTGTTGATACCTTAATTTGAATTTAGTAACCTTAATTAGATAAATAAATAAAGTTTTTTTTTTTTTTTTTGTTTATTGGAACCTGTACGCAATCAACGTTGAACAAACAATACTTTTAGCACGTTTTTAAACTTTAATTGCTTGCTACAATAATTATCGGAAAACATTGTTGGGAGACATTTTTTTGTTACGTTTTGTTCTTGTTCTTTAAATTTTTTTTTTTTTTTTTTTT